CAAATCTTCTAATTGGTAAAGAGGCAAACGTAAATCGTGGGCTAACTGCTCCTGCATAAGGTTTAAGGGTTGAAAAATTAGGAAAAAAAATTATGGTGAGAACTGATATTGAAAATGTTAATAATGCTTTTAGGAGAAGCAAAGAAGGAGAAGATATCAATGACTTTATTAATGAATTATCATATGTAAACAAAAATACAATAGGCGATTTTTACCATTACACTTTCTTGCCTTTGTGTGTCAAAACAAGTCAATGAGGTATTTTAGCACTCCATGCAAAGCATCCTAACTCATCCTTTTACGTATCTTCTTCCCAATATGAAAGTTCCATCAAAGAAGAAGCAAAAATGGTCGAAAGTTTCTTCCACGAAATATATAAGGAAAACGCTAAGAATGATGAATTAAAATGTGTTGTTCCAAAAATCCGCCAAGATAATAGTCGTGATAGCGGGGTGTTTGCTTATTGATATATTGAGAAACTAATTAACCATTACCAAGATAAAGATAATAAGTTTGATTTTGACAAATTGCCTGACATTTTGAGCGAGAAAAGAGAGAAAATGAATGTTCATATTAATGAGTTTCGAGAAAAATGAAAAGATGTGTTAGTAGATAGAAGACAAAAAATAGAAAATATCTTATGAGAAGAAAAGCAGCAATCCCAAGTTGAAGTTCCTCCCCAAGGAAATAATTAAGCAATAAAGGTTATTAAAAAAGTTAGGGGAGAGTTACTCTCCCCTCTTAGCTAACAAGCATCTCGGTAAATAATTATTTATTAGTTAAAAAAAATCTAAATTCAGGACACTTTCCAAAAAATTACTTCTTTTTACGGAAATTACTTTACTTCCTCAATATCAGAAGAGGAAAATCCATCGGAACCAAAATTTATCAATTCGTATGAATAAAAAAGAATATTCTCCCTGCTACCACTGCAAAGAAGGAAATATTGGGGTTTATTATCCTAACAATTATGATGATAACTCTATTCATGGCATTCGAGCAGTTTGCCAAAAGCTAGATTGTCAACAAAAAGAAAAAGAACTATACGAAGCCGAGGAGAGAAAATTTAATGACAAAATAAGCAAAGACCAAGGGCAAAAAGAAAGTTACAAAAACACTAAAAAGCAAGCCGAAGAGAAATTAAATAATCTTCAACAGCAAAGGATTAATGAAGCCTTTACTTGTCGTGGTACCTGTGGTAAAATTATTGGTCTGGATGAAAACGCTTATATATGAAAGGGAGAAAGTGGTTATTATTGTCAAAATTGTCTTGCTAGCAAAATAAATCAAGAATATGACAAAAATGGCCAGCAACCAACTAATCAGTCAATTTGCTCCTTGTGTAAAATCAAACCGGCGGACTATCGCTGACCGGATAATGATAAATTAATTTGTGAAGGTTGTAAACCTCGTTTTGTTCTTAATTTAGCAACTATTGAAAAGATAATGAAAGATCAAGAAGTAGACATTAATTCCCTAAGCTTACCAGAAGCAGATAAAGTTCCTTTACGAGCCGGCCAAATGATAATGAAGGGCGAAACAGTAAATGTTGATGATTTGACTATTGATGAAGAAGATAAGGAGGTTTTGCGAGAATTACAAAAACAAAAGTCACCACAAAAAAATAATTCTTCTAACTATACTTACGAGTGCCAGGATTGTGGTAAAAAAGAAGAATCAACCATTAATCCTTTTAGTTGTTATGGCTGCCAAAGCCGCAATATTAAGGTCTTAAAGGATGGAAAACTCCATGGTGGTGACCAACAACAAAAAACTAATGATCCGAATAAAAAAACCCTTGGCTTAGATCCTGACACGCTTTCTTTCGTAATTATTGTCAATATTATTTTTTGGCCATTAATTATTTTACTAATTGTTCGCTGGCGAAGAAAGAAAAAGAATAAAGTAAGTATTAAACATCATTAACATTTTCAATAAAACTGTTAATAATATTTCTAATTTTATCGGCATCATTACCTCCCTCTTTGATGTAATCATTTAATCGCTTAGTAAATTGGCTAATTGTTTGACTTAAATTCTTATATTTTTGTGCGGCTTGGTTCTCATTTCCACTACTGCTACTACTTCCAATATTATTTATCCGACCAACAATACCATTTATTTGACTCTGTAAATCAGCTATTTCATGGCTAAATTTACTGGAATTAGTATTGCTCGTTTGGGTATTTAAACTAATAGAATTTCTAATATCAGAAATGTCATGTTCGGCTCTTTTTAATTCAGTGCGAGCCAAGGTTAATTCTTGCCGCAAATTTGCTACTTCTTGGAAATTAGCCGCCATTTCACCCCTAATTTCGCTAATTGCTTTGACTAAGGTATCCTTTAAGGCCATGATGTTATTACATAATTGAATAATAAAATTGCGCTGTAATTCTTCCATCCGATATTGATGTCCATAATTATATCTTTGGATTTTTTTGGCATCATTAAAAGCCGGTAATTGTCTTTTGTTATTATATTGATGGAAAGTAAATAAGTAGTGAAGAAGCCAATTACAAACTTCTTTCTCCTGTTCGTTTTTTCTTGTTCCTAATTCTTGTTCCTTGGCTTTTCGTGCCTTGTCATTTAAACGAGTTCAGGAGTAAATTATGGTTGGCATATTTTTCGCCAGTTCATTTTTCGCGATATCATAGCCAATTTTAGTACACACTTTATATAATTCTTCCGGTTCGGGGTTATTGTCTCATTGTCAACTTTCTGATTCGGGCAAATTTACGCCAAATTCCATAGTCAAATATTTTTTTAAAACATTCGGATTTCAGTTGAAGTTCAATTTTTTGCCTAATCTTCCCCTTCTAAATAAAGCCGGGTCAATATTGTCATAATTGTTGGTAGCGATAATGATGCAACTGTTCTTATCTTGGGCTCCACCTTTTAGTTCTTCGCTATCACGGGGAGTTGATAAGAAATTTTTTCAATCTTCTAATAACTTTCCTTTTTCCTTATCGAGAACATTACATCCTTGGTCAGCTTCTTCAATGAAAACAATGTAAGGTTTATTGCTGTATTTATCGCCATAATAAAATTCTTTGGCTTTTTCAATGATTTTTATCAATTTTTCATGGGAGTCAATTTTATCACCCACTGGTGAGCCTTTGCCTGGTGCTTTGATAGTAGTACCGTCAATTTGAATAATGCAAGGTGGTTTTCTCTCAATTTCTTTTAATAATTCATGGTTAGGGTTACCTGGATCTAATTCATTCTCAATTCAAGTGGAGTATTTTTCATTAATCATCCGAGCCAATTGCACAATTAATTCGGTTTTTCCGGTACCCGGTGCTCCATACATGACCATGTTTCTCCTTTTTAAATGTTCAGCATATTTGTCATTGCGTTCATCCAAACCGGGATTAACTTTCCCAATTTTTACCAAGTCTTCTAAATCTTTTAAAATATCCTGAAAATACTGGGTGATTTCATCTGAATAAATTAATTTCCGTGGAAAAGCATTGTCCGGTTCAACTCCTACTACTGCCATGCAATCACTTTCCTCTGGTGGTGCTTGAACATTGTAATCAAGATCGCTGGCCTGTCAACCTTGTAAATTTTTAATTTGGGCTTCTTTGTGCTCCTTATCTAATTTATCTTTTGCTTCCTGCTTTCTTTTTCGGTCTTCGAGACTGCCACTGTGTTCAATTTCTAATCTGGTTTGATTAATTTCATTATTTTTTCAAGCAAAAAAAGCCTGTAACCCCATTATAGTTAAAAATAAAATCATTATGAGGGCAATTAGTCAACCTCATATTTTTTTTAAGAAATTTGGCATAATTGTAAAAAAATATTAATATTAATAAAAGTGATTAAAACGCTAAAAGGAAA